CCCTAACACCATCCAGAAGCAATCAGAGACAGCTGTTTTGAGAATGAACTGCCAACCTTTTTTGTTCTAAAAAAAATCCCATTTATGAAAAGTAGTGTTGTAGGCTGATTGATTTAGTTTACTTAAATAAACCAGGTAAGGCAATACGTACTTCACCTCGAGTGAGTGGCCCAGCTGTTTGTGTATTTTACCACATATGGCCCTTGGTGAAAAAAGTTTGGACACCCCTGAACTAAATGCACGACGCAAACAAAAATGGGCAGAGTAACCGAGAGATGTAAATCTAGCTGTGGAGCAAACTCAGAAAAACAAACCTGGCCAAAATGAAGGTAGTAGTTGTAACTGTCCAAATGACAGGTTTCATTTAAGATGCAAGTTTGTTTGTTATTAATAATGAGTTATTACTACCATTGAGAAATTGCTTAAAATGTCATAAATAAGTTGTTAAGTGTTAACAGAGATGAAAGGATCTAAGGAATGTATTACTTTAAAACCAGGTTTGGTTAAAAGAGCACTATTCTTGGTAAAAAGGTTTATTTTGAAGGGCAGTATATGACAATCATGTGACTGGAGTTGAGTGAGGGGCGCCAATGTGGCATTATGGGACAGAGTCAACATGAACATAGAGAAGAGACATACAGCCCCAAAGGTGTTATTCTGCACATGGTTCTAGAGGCACAAACGGTAAAATGTACTTTATATGTTGTATTTGTGCTTAATGTTGTTTGTGTGCCTCTGCTTGGATAGTGTTATGCAAGAGTGCATTTATCTAAGTTCAGCACAGCTCGCTATGCTAACTACATTTGAGTTTATTAGTGGACATTAGCCTAAGACTTTGAAAGACACTGTAAAAGACAGTATGTTCAATATGTCTGTGCAGATTCTCAGTCACCCAGGTCATAGTAAGCTGAAAAAACTTAGAAAAAATCAACTGGACTAGATTTCTAGGTAGACGTTTTACCTCTTATCCAAGAGGCAGAACTGATGAAGCCTCATTACTACATTACCACAAGTAATGTTTTTGTAGATGTTTGTTCTTTTTGATTCTTGAGCTTTCCTCCTGTTTGTAAACAGGCAAGGCAATGCCTAACTAATCTGAAAAAACTTAGACTGGTGGTGAGCAGGAGGCATTTATCCCACTGGGTAGGGTTTCAGTCGGAGATATTCCGACTCAACGCCAGTCGGGCAGAACTGATAAAGCCTCTTGGATGGGAGGTGAAACATCTTCGACCTAAAAACCTAGTCCAGTCAATTTTTTTTTTCATCATGCGATGAGCTGTAGACGGGAAGAGAAGTCTGATTCAAAAACAATATCAATGTGTTTGATGTAATGAAACCTATTCTGTGACATTCTGCAACTTTTTTCACAGGTTGAGCTGCCTGCCCTATACACCTAGTGCAGAATAGCAATTGAGGCAGAAATAAATCACTTTGCGGCTATTTGTTGCTGTTATTTCTTAATGCAACTTAGCGAAGAAAAGGTAGTGCTTAGTTTGATGGAGGGGATCCTCCTGCTAAATGTTATATCTTATTAGAGGAGTAGCACCCAATATATAGAACACACAAGCCAGGGAAAGGTTCAAATAAAATTTTAAGAAATAATACAAGACAAGAAACTAAAGTAAGAATACGGGGGCTCAACCTGACTGAGAGAACAAAGAACGCCGAAGCTTAACTAAAGAGTTTGGTCAGGTAGCAAGGAAAAAGAACTAAAACCAAACCAGAGAAACTAACTAAGGAACTACTGACAGATAAAACCCAAAACATAAAGGAAAAACCAACGAAGCCAGGACAGGAAACCAATGTGAGATGGAGAAAGAACTTAAGAATACAGGAGTACAGAGTGTGGTGAATGGAGACTGAGAAAGCACATGAACTGGCAGGGTGTGAAGAACAGAGATAGCAAGCAGAATGAACCAGCAAGAGGCTGAGGGAAAGGAGGAGAATATTTACACAAAAGAGCAGAGGATAATGAGGGACAGATGAACACAATGAGTGGTGATTGCAGACCAGAGTAAAGCTGGGGCAGGTGAGGTGATACAGGACAGTCTAACTATAACAGCTAATGCAAACAGCAGAATCATTGTCATGTGAGACAAAGGTCGCACAGGGAACTAAGTCATGCAGCCCTATGTGAGGTCCACTCGGCGTGACCTGCCTTTCTCTCTCTCATCCTGCAGGCTCAGCGAAACAGCTGAGACGCATTCATCTGCTAATTCACTCCCGGGTGTAGCGCACAGCTGAAGCTCATCCCCGCTAAATAAATCTTTCCTATTTAAAGTGCTGTCAGACGCTCCTTCGTCACCAGATCATTGACACTGATAGGGTGATGTTGATGTTAAGATAACGATGCTAACGGTGACGTTGACAGTGAGATTGAGTTTTTATGTTTGATGCAGCCACACAAGTTGGAGATCTTCCCTGCCGTGATTATCTCCAGC